GAATCTGCTGATCCATGAACTTAATGGCAGGCCTACCATCCTCCATGCGATGCAGGGCATAAAAGTGCTGTTCCTTCTTGACATTCACAAGACCCAACACTTCCGCAATCTGCCAAACCGAAGCCGAACGCTTCGTCCGTACTGCTCTTCGAGCCAGGAATTCCCGTCCTGTCCCGAAATGGGATTCAGCTGTCCACCAGATATCGTAGAGGTGAGCCACTTGGTCTACTGGCATCCGATTATGCTCCATTGCTAACACATGGATTTGCATCTCTGCCGCATTGCTGATCAAAGGCGGCTGAGGCTCCACCACTGCAATTTCAGGAGTGCTGAAGCCAAAATCATTCCTCCATATATTGCGAAACTGTCTGGACCAATTGGTGTCATCCAGTAACACATATTTGCAGAAATATGTGACCTCTTTGCGTAGTTCAACTATCCAAAGAGCAATGCGAATACAGTCACCATCGACCCTTTGTGGGAGCCCTCTAAACCATTGCCTCAAAACATCTTTCTTGACGAAGTTCTGCCTGGTGTAGTCGGCAATCGGATGGATCGAACATTGGTTCTCTACTGCGTATTCGAATCTTGCTTGTCCTACCATGGAAGCAAAGGAACTCGCCACCTGCATGAAGGACATATCCTCGCCCATGTGGGTTGCAGTGTTACCCCACTCCTTGTCCGGCAGTTTCCCGACTTGTCGTAGAGTACACCAACCTTTCCCACTAGCTGCTATCAAGTCGACAAGAGCGCCTCTTCTCAGGGATGTCTGTGACAAACGTTCGAAGCCGCTCCGATACATCTTCTGAGGAACCGCACAGGCACAAAAATCAGTTCTCTGCGGATTTCCATGACTCAAAATGTTTTGTCGAACCAAGATTGCAACTGGGCCGTGTGAGGAAAACGCAAGAAAATGTACTATACTATCTGCAAAGTGTTCGTAAGGCTGAGGCCACACAGACTGAACAGAACACGACTGAATAGGTATTTTGTCAGACCAGACAGAACAAAGATGCTCCTGAACATTCCCAAACAAGTCTACAGGGATATCAGTATCTCTCGCTGCCGCAGAACATCCTCCATCTGGTGCGAACCAAGCTTTGGCACGAATCGGCTCATGCTCAAACACGAAGTTCCTGACTTTTCTCTGCTGTTCATATGCTGAGTGGCGCAATTCAGAGACATTGAGATCTTGTGTCTGTGCTCTGAAAACAAAATCGCCCAAAAATGGTGGCCTACTATCAACGCTTCCCGTGGTTCCCTCATCAACGGTCGTCGAGTTGGCTCCTAAGAAAGCGGATTGCTGGCCTTCGCCTTCTAAGCTCGTACCTAGAGCGGGTTCATAGTGAGTACCTTCACAAGGCGAGGAAAGGTGCTCACCACTCCTTACGAGATGGTCATCGGCCTCTGGTAGGGCCTGCATCTCCCTCCCCGTGTTGGAATGGGAGCCCGGAACGCAGGTATCCCGGCTTCCGTGAGGAGCTGACATAAAAGCACTTATTTCTTCAGGTTCAGCGGTTGTTCTATGGGCACGAAAGGAAGAACCATGAACATCATGACTATGTTCAACGGAATCGTGACCAGTGCTTTCATGGTTCGAGAACCTAATGTTCTCAATTGCTTTTGTGGCACGCGATCCCAAAATGCAAAAGCAAAAGAAGATCGCTCTATACTGCAGGTTGCCTTTCCGATGGTGACTAGGAGAAAACCTCCTAGTACCTACAAGGGTGCAAGGACCTATGTGATCCCGTCTCCAATGGAGTCCCAACCTGGCAAACAATGCTCCACAAGTTATGGCTGCTTCAACTTGGATGGTAGCTGAAAGCAAGTCTGGCCGGATATGCACACCGCCATTGACAAAAAGCTGACAGGCCACCACTTGGATCGCAATAACAAGGATGAGCAAAAATGCCATCCAAGTCCGAATCCCGGTCTTGAGTTTGCATCCCTGCCTAAAACCCCTTAGGGGATGACCGCAGAGAAAAAGGCCCAAAATACGACATGTTCGTCGAATAAGGACAATCAAGGCAGACAAGAACGAAGCGCTAACGATCGTCCAGACCTGCGCAATGCCTTGGGCATCAAGTCCATAGTCGTTCTCCAACTTTTCGAAGGAAGAGTTACAACTATCATTCCCAAAAACCGCACTCCCATCATCTATCAACGGAATCCTGTGTCGAAAGTCGGTTGCAAACAAACGGCAAACCTCTGTACCTCCCAACTTGGAACTCCAATTCCCGTTCCAGCCCCTAGTCCTAGTCGCCTCAAAAACAATGGCGCCAACAGGAACATGATGACTGGACTCATATCCATCTGGCAGATTTCCGACAGCTAAGCATTGCTCATCTCCCTTGAAATCCATTCCAAACCGATAAAAGGCCTCCGAAAAGGATTCCTGAAAGCAATAACTATCTGTCAAGCTACTACCATTGATTCCTAGTCGAATCTCTCGAGAGAATTGGACCCATCTCTCCTTGGGCTCCTGCTGGCACTCCGAGATCGAACAGCTTCCGGCGGTTCCACCTGATGCCTGGCAGCTTCTAGAGCCTTGGCCCTGGCTGTACGTGCTGCTAGAGACGAGTCGAATTCTACTAGTCCTAGCGAAGGAAGCTTGGTCAACTGTGGAGAGTTCTCGTTCGGCAAATCTGGACGGCTCGGCAATGCCCCCACATACGTCTCGACACGTGCTTGCAGATCTTGAATCATTGCGTTCGACTTCTCCAATTGCCGCCTCAACATTTCCTTTTCTGTCTCTTCCACACCTGCCATGCTTGCATCCTTGTCGGCACCGGATTCTCCAATCAGTATCTGATTGATCTCCTTCTGCACTTCCGTCATTTGCTCGTTCAAGGACTGCAAGTCCTCGTGGTGCTTGGCTTTCTCCTTCTTTCTGTGCTCCTCGAGGGCATCTAGAAACTTGTTCCATGCCTCTCTCTTTTCTGTGTGTTTTGCTTTGAGCTTGTCCATCTTTGCCAGGAGCTTTTTCTTGAGGTTGAGCGTCCGTTGCTCTTGACGGACATCTTCCAACGGATCTGTACCAAGCAAGTCGGACAGGATCTGGATTCCAGCAACTCCCTCATTTCCTTCTTCAAAGCTAAAACCTCTTTGGAGGAAGCATCTTTGCTCGAAGAAGACGAAGAGGGCAGCAGCGATTCGTAGGAGGGAAAGGATTCCCCTCCTCCCCTGTCTGACTTGGCCTTGTCTGGCTTCTCTGTCTTGCCATCTTTCTTTTTCTTTGGCGCTCCTTGCTGCTGCTGGTTGGGCCACTGGTTCCACCAGGGCTTCACACTCTTCCCTTTCCCTTGTCCACTCCATCCTCCCATCCAGAGGTTATAGCGAACGGGCCAACTGTGATGGCTTTGTAGCAGCTTATAAGCACGTTGGAGTCGCACTGAAATCTCTCTAGGCAGGTGGGCAGCCTTTCCACAGGTTCGCACAAGCTGTCGGGCTTTCGCTCTTTTAGCTCGCAACCTCCTGTGCCAAGAGGGACTCTTGGCTCTTGCTCTCACCGTCTCTCGGCCAGCGCAGCGGTAGGCAACCCCACCACCAACCACACCACCACAATGGCTGCAAACGGCAAAAGGATCGTGACGAACTCTTTGAGTTCTGGGGTTCGAAATACGCTAACTACCGCTTCGAGCCCTATGACATGTAAGTGCAAAAAATAGAACTCACCTTGCAATAGTCGGCATGCACAAAGGTGGCAGGTCCAGCTACCACATTCGCTGCACCCAACGTGTTCAGTCCACTTGCGCTGCTGCAACGAATCCTCAGGCTGCTGAAGGTGCTGAAGCAGAGGATTTTAGCTCCAAAGTACTGGGGCGAAACATCTAGGAACATCATGGAACATCCATGCTCCTGAGTGATGTGCGTAGTGAGAATTTGTAGGGTTTGTGGTGAAAAACCAAATTTTGAATATCTGACCAACTGCTGAAGCTCAATCCCAGCGGATTCAAACAATACCGAGCACATGCTGACTCACAAACACCACACACTGAAGATTAGCTTAGCTGCCCTCTGCTGCTTGCAACTCGTGCAAGAGGGCCGATTTACGCGCTAATGTGGATATGCATGCATATTGTGCCAATAGAAGTGAGGCGTCCACCCTATACTAAGATGTGTTTATACAAGAAACCCAAAAACAAATTTCGGAACACAATCCCTGAAAGGTTCTTAGATACCGCCTAAAACATCCCCTTACGCATCTTGGAGGTATGTGTGCGCTTTGTGTTTGAGCCCCATCACTTTATTCCAAGCATCGTATGGTCAAAGGCAACGACTCGTTCGACCTTTTCTCCTGCTTTCTGCAGCACTTTCTCTAATAGACCTTCCACTTCTTTGTAGTAGACCTCTCGCTGCAAAAACCAGAAGAACAACAAACATCATGGATCATCATAGATGCTACGCCTGGACAAAATCGGATGGGTCAACTACCGGCCATGCTTTTTCAACAGTACTAGCATGTTTTTCTGTTTGAGTATGTCTATACAAGTAATTATATGCATTCATTTTTTAATGCACCAACCTTTTAGAAGGGTTCCTCATGTTAAGCATGCCTACATGGAGAGCACCCTTTGATCACTTCGGCCGCTTCGCTTTGTTGTCCCACCTTTCGTATCTCTTCTTCATCTCCAAAACTTTGAATCCTGTCTGCAGGAAAAAAATGACAAAAATCCATCAAAATCGATATGCTTCCACATGGTCATCCTAGTTAAAGCACTTGTTCGTATATTTTACCATGCAACTGCTTCCTCGAAGGAGATTCTTGTCTTGGAATGGTACTTGGGAAGCTTTGCGGCTTAAAATTCTGCAAGTTCTTGAGGCTCCCATGTTATGGAACTCCTAATATAGTATTATAGTGAAGGCATGAACATACGAACAGCACTTACAGGCATCGCTTGCCTCGCTTCCGTTGCTTTGCTCTCACAGCAGCATGACAGGGCCACTAATGTAAGGAAGAATAACGACAACAACTGCATACCCTAAGGAGTGAACAAGCTGCACGCATCAGGTTCAATCAATGTGACTTGCAAAACTTTGAAGACCATCTTTCTTGTTTTTCTTTTGAATGAATGATTCATTGAAAAATATAACATGTCCATTGAGACCAACTCGCGGTGTCGAGAAAAATTCAATCAAGCTGCGCGCATCAGATTCAATCAACGTGCAAAACACTTCACGACCTTTGGAGATCCTCTTTTTGGAATGAATGATTGAACAAAAACATACAAAACCATGTCCATTGAGACCAACTCGCAGTGTCATAAAAGCCAGAAATGATCCAGGCGAAATGCCGCTACCGTTTCAATCATTCAAAAGCTCAAAGCATGACGAAAATTCTTTGACAGTTTCATGACACGGTAACACCAGTCCTCCAAAGTCATCTGCTGCTTGCCACTGTAAAGCGCCTGACAGGCAACAAAATCAATTTGAAGTCTTTCTAAATGGCAAGCCCAAAGGAAGAAGGGCAGGAAGAACGGGTTTTTGAACTATGCATCTCTACGGGCTTATCTTGGTAGGAACTAAGTTTTTATAACTTTTCGAACAAGGAACAAAGAAAGTGAACTCGAAAGCTACTGCTCTGGCACTCCCTCTCCCACTCTCTCTCTGTCCCCGACCTCCATCTCGTAGATGTAGTCATACCTGAGCCCAACTCAGAGCCGAAGACTGGCTAGGACCCCATCAAGCTCTGTATCAAGGAGTCGGGTTGTTGAACTCCTACCGTCCGAGGTCCCTCCTATCCACTGTGGGATTCCAAAGAATCGTCGCCTCAAATCGAACGCATTGAACGCACCCAAGCTACCAGAGCTACCAGAGCTACCAGACCATGCTGCTCTCCAGGCCGCCCACCTGCTTCCGAAAACCGTTCGTTAGTTTTGTTTTTCAGCGGTTGTGACATTGGGGCTCATCAGTTTTTCCACTATTTTCCACTAGTCCGAAAAAACTTTTATCTGATTCGGTTGTGTCTGATTCGTTTGCCTTCACAAAATGCTGGACCTACGTGCGGTACGTGAGGGTACGTGCGGCTCAAAAGGACCAATCCGAAAGAATCACTAACTTGCTTCGATTTTTCAAATCTCAACGTTTCTCAACAACAACTACTGCAAAAACTATCTCATTTTTTTGACATTTTCACCAAGCTGAGCGCAGAGCTCACGCAACTTGGCTTTGCAGCAAAGTTTTATTGTACTTCTTTGGTTAGGTGATTTGTCATGCTAACGGTTAGCAACGCTACCGCTATGGTGGCTATATACATTTGCCGCCCCATGAAGATCCTTTCAAAAGCTCAAAATCCACCTCCACTCTTTTCTCTTTCACCATCTCCCAGAGCTTGTCCTCGGTCGTTTGTTTCCCAGAGAGCTTGTACATACAGTAAGCACCATTTGGACTATATAATTCAATGTTGGAAAATGTTAGAAAGCTGTTGCAGCAACTTAATGTCAGAAAAAAACCAAGCCTACAGGTGGGTTGCATTCTGCCCAAAGCCTGCAGTCAATGAAATGCCCGCCAAGCCACGTTCACGATCTGTCGCCCCTTGTTGTCACACGTAGCACCTGAAGCTCAAGGCATGTTGCTGAAGCAAGTTCTTTTCAGTTCACAACTGCTGTTGAATGAAACAGTTTGAATCAACAGAATGTAAAGCTTCCAAAACCTTCAATGTGAGCGCAGCACCAACAGACCAAACCATTGTGAAGAAGTAGAGGGGAATCAAGTGCGACTTGAGTCTTCATGTCAGAAAAACACCAGGTCCTTAAGGTCCACCCCTGCCATGCGACCCTTCATGCACTAAGGCTGCTGCCAGAGCTCTTTGAGTTTCTCGCCCATCTCCTGCTTTTGGAAACTCCATCTGCTTGCTCTGCCCAAGCAAAGCTATGGCTGACACTGATCTCAAAGAACAGGTCATGATTCATGACCAAACCGACAAAGGGCAAACCTTCACACCTAGATATCAGAACAGGGTGTTTCCTCTGTGCGGCTTACGCATGGCCAAGCTTTGCAAGGAAACACTAGGACACTGACTGAACCAGTGGCTCATTGCCAAGAGCAGGAGGTCCCACCTCACAGTCGTCTGTCTTGGTTCTGAAGGTGTTGGTGATTGCAGTTTTGCGGTTTTGATTTTATGGAAACCATACTTTTCCGAAAGGAACATCACGTGTTCTTTTCCCGGTAGGAACACAAGTAAAGGAACACTGAGTGGACTCAGAGCGTTCGTCACTGAGATGTCTCTCCCGCATCGGCTTTCGTCACTGAGTGGCCGGCGAGGCAAGCGACAAGTCTTCCACTTGACCATCCTGAGAGTCGCAGCTTTCGCAGCTTCGTTCAGTCATTTTCTCTGCAGAGAAATGCTATGACAACTGAAGATCTATGACTCTTGAAGCCTTACATACGTGACATAATTAAAGCCATACTGGTCGCTCTTCAAACCTCTACAGTTTCCATCCATTTCCTACCCCAGCCAAAGTGCCCATCAGTGCCCATTGCCTCATCTGTGGCGTCAGCGAGATGATCTCACCGGAAGTGAGACAGAGCTTTTTGTTGTCGTCCAGCACGGTGTTCAGCTGGACTTCAGCTGGACCTTGGGGACTTCAGCTGGACTGAAAACATCTCTTCGCCCAAACGACTCACACAAAATAACACACCAGAAAAGGTCGCAAGCTGCTCCCCTCCAATGGTCTAGGGCTTCCAAGCATGGTTGCAAAAAATGTCTTCATCGTTGCCTTCCAAAGAGTCTTTAGTGGGCGTTTACCAACAACCACAAGGGTTCTTATAGTTGGAGGATTAACCACTGAGATTAGAACAGATTTCTGAGACGTTCCCCGATGTTCTTCACCAACAAAAACCATATTGATTCGTGTCAGATCTGTTGGTTTGCTTCTTCTTGCTTGCCTGTGTGATGGACTTGGGGTTCAAAATGTGGGTTTGAACCTTCTGATACTCTGTGTCACCGGCCTCGCGAACAGGCGAAGCGTTGGATCCACTTATGAAGCCGGTCTGAACATAAAAGACCAACCAGGCGAAGCTATGTACCTTTCAAGAGCGCCTTGCCTCACACATGGCGTCAGAAGTGGCTTGCAGCAACCGATAGTTGCAGGTTTTACCACCTGCTAACCCAGTGATCGGACATTCAAAAAGCAATCCATGAAGCATGAAAATGAAAATAAGGGAATCGGATTCTGTGACGAACAAACCAACTGACCTGTAGTTGCAAATTTAAAGCCTACGTGGATTGTCACTGCATTGATTTGCGAAATTTTCCCTCCGCAGGAAAAGTGTTCACAATTGCAAAACAATGCAAGACAAGCTGATTTCTACGTTTGACCGGTTGACCATCATAAATCTGTTGGCGTGTTTCGAAAACCGCTGCAGCTGGCCTGCTTTGGTGGTCGTTGGTCGTTTTGGTTCCGTTTAGTTCCGTTTACGGTGGCTTTGCAGCCGCTTCGGTGCCCAGTGCAGTGCCCAGTCGACTCAGTCGCTCCGCTGCCCCAGCCTTGGTGAAGTTCTCGGTGAGTTGCATGTCCTTCGGATCCTGAGGTGCTCTTTGTGACTCCCTCTCTTCACTCTTCATTTTGAAGGGTACAAACAGTACAAACATGTATACTCTATAAACTTGTAGACCTCTTTGGACAAAACTTTCAACACCAGGCCTTTCCACAAGCTTCCATCACCGGAGTCAGGTTGCCATACTCCACAGGCCGACAGGCCGGTCTGTTTCAGGGAACAGGCCTGAGATGTAGATATTTCATATACCTCAAGCGGGACAAACGAAGCGGCTCGAAGATTCTAGATACTATTCTAGATCTTTGTCAGGCGTGGAACTCTTACAAAAAAGCACGCTAGAATCTAGAATGGTTTCCTGGGTTGAAGAACGGATATCTCGCAAACAGAACTTTCCCGAAGGCGCTGGCTAACGCCTTCGCTAAAGAAATATCATAACGACTTACGCCCCATGGCCCTTGGTGTCCACACTGGAAAAGAGGCAGATCATCCTGGAGCTTCAAGGATCCATTCTGGGACTTCCACAAAAGGACCCGGTGGCCATAGGTCTTTGAGATCGGTTCCAAGCCATTGTAATCCCATCCATTTGCGGTCAAAAACCACATACGAGTCTAGTATCTTCTCATATGGACTCATTTGAGACTGGACTTCCGGAGTGGAGCGTCAGGCACTATGTTCTCTAATTAGATGAACCACAAGAGAATAAGAAGCTCCTGCATTAGACGCTAATGTGTACATTCCTCTAAGGCCCTCAGGCTCTGCAGCCCCAAAACAACTGGCCGCTTCAGGAACTTGGGCACCTTCACATCCGCAGAGTGATGTCTTCTGGTAGGTCACCTACCTGCGTAGGACCATCACCACTCATTTGGCCCCGCAAGTCCCGCAAGTTCATTAGAATTTTCCAAAGCCCCAAATGCATCAACACGACATGAAGCATAGCGTGAACTGGCCTCTCACTTCAGTTTACCACACATTTCGATGGTACTCTTGACAGCAGGCATGCCGTAGTCGTAATGGAACCTAATACGGTGCAAGATTTCTCTGTGATTTGAGTACCTATCCTAAAAACGCTGAAATCAGGTTATCTACGCTGGTTTAGCCAGACAGTTTTTGATTCATCGCCCAAATCCAGGGACTTTCTGTATTCGAAGGGACTGACTAGAAAGAATTTCTTGCTCAGTGCGCTGCGAAGAGAGCTGCTCAGACAAAAGAGTAAACGTCGTCATCTCAGCTCAAAATGTACCGAAATTGCATCAAAAGAATGCAATCAAACTTTCTTCTCTGGCCGAAATATGCTAAATTTGATCAAACTTTCTTCTCTTCCCGAACATGTTTCCCAACTGGCTAAGATCGCCATGTTTATTTCCTTTTCATCTCTGCCTTCCTCTGGAAGGAAGTTCTCCTTCTAAAGCCTTCCCTGATTTCTTGAATTTAAAAAGTCGGGGCTCCTTGCCATCTTTTTTGCCAACACCTTGGCGTCCGTAAATCCGTAGGCATAGAACCTGAGAAGCTCGCAAAGCTCTCCAAGTTATCAGCTATCAGATTCTGAAAAAGACTCTCCGATTCAAAACCTCCTATTCAACCTAACGACCGCTCCCTTCTCTCTTTCTACTTTGTATTTGCGGTGGACCCCAAAGTCCGACAACAAGCCCTAGACGTGATCTCGCCGATCAAGGCATGGTCGGAAACCATCATCGCCTAGGCTTGCTGTTTTTGGTCCCACAAAGGCCTTTCAATCGTCCCGGCCCACCGAATCAAGAAAACGATGCGCAGGGTTACGTGACTTATAGAAACAGATTTTATCGTCCATCATCTATTGTGTGGACTTGTAATGCACGTGAAATTTCAAGAATGGAAATCTCTATTTCGGCAAGAACGTCAAACAAGCTCAAACATGAAGGAGATCGCTCTCAAGGCATCGGCCACGGGTCTGAACAAGGCGGCCAGGTTGTCGGGGAGCTCAGCGCGACCCGCATAGCCTGGAGAACGAGAATGAAATCTACAAAAGTGCCAAACATCTCCAAAAATCAACGAAAAAAATCATTCTTACAGGTATTGAGACCCGATGTTGCTTCATTGTGGTTCCAATAATTAGCCCAACTGGCCCAAACTCTTGAAGTTCCTGGATTCATGGTGATGAAGACATTGAAGGTCGGCTTCATGACCTCACCACCGTGGCACCGTGGCAACTTCGATAGCTAAACGGTTTCACTGCACCTACAACTGTCTACAACTGTCTTCTCGTTGTTGACTTCTTTTCATTTTGAGTTGTTTTTCCGCGGATTTCATTGACCCACACCCAGACAACCTCGTGCACAGTCGCATGTGTCTCTACTTAGAAATGGCATCCATCGTCATCCATCAATCTTCTACGAAGCACAACCAATCCACGACTCCCTTTGGCTAATTCGTCCTGCCTGAGCCTGGTAACCCGTCTGCAGTATTTTTTCGCTTTGGGTAACTTTCGGAACCCCCAAAAAATTACACAGCATAGACCCCAAACAATTTTTGTGAATATTTCACTCTCATTCGCAACTGAGCTTTAAAAATGGATGAACAAAAAAGGACACAAAGCGGACGCAAAGCGAACACAGAGCGGACACATGGTGGGGGACATAAGGCGGACACATGGCGGACAAGGACTGGAGGTGCGGCCGCAGCCGACAACACAAGGTGGACACAAGGCGGACACATAGCCGACGCAAGGTGGATCTGAATAAAAGGTGCGGCCAAAGCCGACAACACACGGCGGACGCATACCGGAGACAAGACGGGCACACGGCGGACAAGCCTCGAGGGCGTGGCCAAAGCCTATTGTGGCCAGCCTTTTTTTCCTAAGAGAGAACCCCACAGTAAAATTGTTTGGGGAAACAAAAAATTAAACCAAAGGGGATCAAAACAAATTACACCCCCGTAGACCCCAAACAGTTGTGGTAAATACACGTTGGTTCAAAAAGTTTTTCATACTGGCTGCTGCGCAACACGTATCCAAGGTTGAACTGGGCGCTGCTGGTTTCATTGCGGGCCAATAACCAAAACCACCAAAAATCTTTGGGCTGGATAGCCTCCATGGTTTTGGGAAAGAGGGTTCAACTACAATCGTCTTTGGGCTGAGATAGCTCTAGGGTTTTGAGAATGACGGCTCAATTATAGCCATTTTTTGGCCGGATAGGCACAGGGATTTTGGAAGGAGGGTTCTTGAGAAACCCTTGTGGGATGATACTGCAGGCAAAATTGGAAAGAGTCTCCAGGAAGACACTTTTGTTGAGACTCCGGTGGGATGATAGTGCCAAAAATAAGTTGGAAAGAGTCTCCAGGAAGACACTCTTGTTAAGAAATTCCTGTGGGATGATAGTGCCCGAAAAGAAATTGGAAAGAGACTCAAGGAAAACCGTTTGTTGAGAAACTTCCGTGGGATGGTGGCGCAGGGAAAAAGTGGGAAAGGTTCCCGGAAGACCCTCTTGTTAAGAAACTTTTGGTGAATGATGGTGCAAGAAAAAACTGCAAGGACACTCCATGAAGACACTCATGTTAAAATATCATTACATGTTTCCCATGTTTGCATGTTTTCCTAACTTAAAGGTTTCCTGTTTGCTAATTTAAAAGTGGCATTTTTAATTAATTTGTTTACGCACTGCGTTAGCTTCCTGCCAATGAACTAATTTATCATTACATTTTTTCGCTGTATATATTGCTCACATGCTGACACGTTTGCATGTTTACATGTTTCCGGTTTACATGTTTGCATGTCGACAGAGCGACAGCATGATATGCTCATATGTGTTTGCGCTAAAGGAATTAGACTCCGACTTGTTAGGCCTCTTGAGAAAAAGGTTTCTTGTTTGTTAAAAGTTGTCATTCTTAAAAAGTTTGTTTACGCAGTGTGTTAGCCTCCTACCAATGAACTGATATATCACAACATGTTTCCTATATAAAATGTTTGCAGGCTGACATGTTCGCATGTGTGCATGTTTGCATGTTTACATGTTTGTATGTTTACATACCCACAGAGCGACAGCATGATATGCTCAAATGTACCGCGCGAAAGGAATTACATTCGCATTTGTTAGACCTCTTAACTTAAAGGTTTCCTGTTTGCTTTATTGGAAGCCTAGCACTTAGAATATTCAGTGTTTTTCCGGGCCAAACAAAAATTCAAGTCGGACGTCCGTGTGGAATATTGGGAGAAACAGTGCAGATAGAATATCACATGCAAATAGAATATACGAAACCCGCAAATAGAATATTATTCAACAACGGTTTAGCGTTTGGAAACGGAGCAATTCCTTCATATTCTTGCCCGAACAGATTGTGAAGGACGACAGGTGCAAATATTCTAATTGCAATCTTTCTCCAACTTTTACAAGAGGGTTCCTTGATGTCCTTTGACTTTTTCAATAGACTGATATCTTCAGGACCGGGCCCTGCAGGTGGGAGGCCGGAGGTGGCAGGTTGCATGGCCGGTGAGATGGGAGGTTGCACGCACATGCACTAGTGAGGCAGGAGGGATAGGAGGCAGGGGAGGCAGGGGAGGTGGGAGGCAGGGGAGGTGAAAGGTAGGAGTTGTCAAGAGTAGGCAGGCTCCTATTTGCCAAGACGTGGGTGGTGGTAGGAGCAGTCAAGAGCAAACAAATATTTCAAAGGCAATCATGGAACATGAAAGGAATTCAAGGAAAACAAAGCTAGGAAACCCATGGAATATAAGATAATGCTGATAAGACATCAAAGGTAAAGAACACGTCAGGAAAACAAATAAAATCAAAAGAAATTATAGGAACACACAAAAGAAGCCAAAAGAAAGAAAATCCCCACGTAGTCTTTCATAGTCATAGTGTATATTTATATTGATTTAGCTTTATGAAAATGAAAGGAAAACAACGAAATATGAAAGGAAACTAGGGGAAAGGAGAGGAAATCAAAGGAATACAAAACTTGAAAAACTATTCCACAAAGCACAAGAAAATCAAATCAAGTTAGAGGAATACGAAAGGGATGATATCAAAGGCAATCATAGAACATGAAAGGAAGTCAAGGAAAACAAAAGGAGTTTGGAATGACATCACTTGAACAAAACATAGGTCGCAAGAAAATTTCAGGAATTGATAAGATATCACAGGGAAGGAACACGAAAGGAAAACAAACAAAATCAAAAGAAATTATAGGAACGCACAAAAGAAACCAAATTCCTTAGCAGATAGGGCCAAGAAGACCAAAGGAAAGAGAGGGAAACCAATAGCCGCCGTGACCCTGGGAATGTTGGATGGTGAATAGTGGTTGTACGTACACGTAGCCTATCATAGTCATAGTGTTTTTACTGATTCAAGAAACTGTGGGCTGTCCTTTGCTGGAAACCCTTTTGCAATGAGCTTTCGGCAATGCGCTTAGAATATTCGAGAAGCTCGGGCTACCGGATAGTGAGAGATCAATAAATGAAAGAAAACGAAGAACGCATGAAAAATCTATGGTAAGAAAGTTTTGCACAAAGGAATCTTTGAAGTATGCAAGGATATTCGGGGAAATGAGAGGAAATCAAAGGAATACAAAACTTGAGAGATTATTTCGCAAAGCAAAAAGGAAATCATCATATCAAGTTAAGGAATACGAAAGGGGAGATATGAAAGGAATTCAATGTCACAAGATGGTTATTCTAACTGCGGAGTTGGCTGTGTCATCCTAACTGCAAAAATGCAACAACCTGCGCATAGCAAAAATAAGATATTCTAACTGCTTACTTTTTTCTCCAGATAGCTGGAAGCTATAGGGGTTCTTACTTCTCAATGGTTGGGGCACTGATTGCGGAAAATGGCTGCCGCTGCTTGTCTCCCAAGCTTGTCTCCTTTCATGATTTCGTTCTTGGGTGGCGCTGCCATGTTGTCCCCCAAGTCTCCCTTCATGATTTCGCTCTTGGCTGCCTCTGCCACCTTGTCTCCCAAGCTTGTCTCCCTTCATGATTTCGCTCTTGGCTGCCGCTGCCGCCTTGTCTCCTAAGCTTGTCTCTCTTCATGATTTCGCTCTTGGCTGTTGGTACCACCTTGTCTCCCAAGCTTGTCTCCCTTCATGATTTCGCTCTTGGCTGCCTCTGCCGCCTTGTCTCCCAAGAGCTTGTCTCCATCCGAGTTTTACCGTGGAAAGACCTGTGGCTTGGAGGTAGGAAGTGTCAGACGGAGGTTGCTGGTTATGTTTGCACTACGCCAAGCCCTTCGAAAAGTCATCCATCATGAACGCCCTGAAACAGTCAATGATAATTCGCAGGAAAAATCTGCTGCTTTATGAGTATGTCAAATCGCAAGTTGCTGCGAACTTTTTTCGTAAAATGCTATCTGGGGTCTATGCCGGTGTATTTTTCTGAATATTCTAACTGATGGAGTTCCGTTATAAAATGTTTCATTTTAAACTTTAAATATTTTGTTTCGCATTGTGTTAGCCTCCTACCGATGAACTAATTTATCATTATATTTTTTCGCTGCAAAACTGTTCATATGCTGACATGTTTGCATGTTTACATGTCGGCAGGGCGACAGCATGATGTTCTCATATATGTTTGCTCTACAGGAATTACACTCGCACTTGTTAGACTTAGATAGTTTGCTCGCGCAGTGTGTTAGCATCCTAGTTTCCAAGACTGCGACTCTTTTTTTTTTGGGCGTAAATTCTATACATCAGCTTGCGTCCTTGCTTACCTTCTTCGCAAGTCAGTTCTGAGTTGGCTGCCCTCACTCATTTTTTTCGAGTCGTTTTCTGAGCTCTGAGCAGCAATGATGTTCAACAATATTTAAAAGCGTCGTTGCCTACCTTTTTGGGCCCTCAGCCCTTCGACTTTCAAATCCTCAGACCCTCACTGACTCACCCTCAGACTTTCAGCCCCTCAAACTCTTACATGCTGGGCGCTTCGGCTTTCAAAC